CCCAGTAACGCTCATATCACACTCAACACAAACTCCCAACACATCATTAAATCCATCCCTTATCTCATAAATATAACAATACCACTCATAGAAGACCTTCATAAAATGAATAACTATGCCTACTTCCTGCTTATACGGAAAGCAATCCTTGCAAAATCAATCCAAATCAGCACCAACCACATCTGCTCTACAAGAAAAATAAATAAACAAACAGAGGCTATCCAAATTGAACTTAACCCTCTTCTCCACTCTTACAGTACATACATCCTTTCTCTTAATCAACAATTCACCTCAGATAACTTAAAGACAACTGTAAAGAAAATACATATTGCTCAAAATATAGCCAATTGGCTTCAACAAAACTGAATTCAACAGCTGCTCCAAACACACCGAAACATACTATGGAGCGCAACATTTGAATACATGCAATACAATGACAAACCCTTCCATCGATACACTAACCCCGAGATATCCAAAATAAAAAATTTTAATTGCAAACTTTTAATGAAAGAACTCCCAAACTTAGTAAATCTTCATTCAAGACACCCACATACCCACACAAACCCAACTTGTCAATGATGTCGACAAGCACTCGAAGATGACAACCACTGGATTACGTGCACAACCAACCCCATCAATATTATATCAATCATCAACTCAACCATTGACCACATTGCATTAAAACATAATGCAAATATTACTAACCATAATTTCTTTATTCAAGCCTTCTATAACACCTACCTCAACAACAACCTCCCGATTGGATTCATCACTACCCCAACGCTTCCACCTTTTCAACTGCCTAGTCAAGCCATGCAACTGGCACCCGAATTCTACAATAAGCTAACTACCGAAATAAGAGAAAAAATCTGGATACCTAGCCGGATCTCAACTTCACCAAGCAACCTAATACTGATCAACCAACTTACTTCAGCAACTGCCAACATTCGACACACCAATCATACCCAAAACCTAGCAAGTCAACTTATTTACAACCGTTGGTTACTAAATTACATAGACTTATACACTTCCCCTCATTCTTGCCCCATTTCATAGTCTAGAGGTTTTTGACCTACCTAGCTAAGGTTCAGGTCTGAAGTAAATTAGCTTAATCTTCATTTCACCTAAAAACTTATATAAACAAGATTGTAAATTAACTTTACATAACAATTCTCAAGTTCTTGATAACGATGAAACGGATTGAAAATTATTAAGCAGTGTAAAAAAAACTC